TTAGTTGGTTAGTCATAGGAACGGTCCTGACCTCCAGGCCGGCTTTCTCTCCCTACCATTGAGGTATACTATACATATTTACAGCTGAGATGGTGTGCATGCCATATGGATATAATAAAAGGGGAAGCGGTACAGAAAGGTCATGTTGTACTTATGCAGCTTCTTGCTGATGACTCCAATTCGTCGGTTGACGATGGATATGGCGGATGCTGACGGCTACTAATCCAGCCTTCATTGGATTTGTTAGTCACGCTTTTCGGTCTAAGGCTGGCGGCTTTGCGGCTGTTAGCGGGGCTCGAGCGTGAAGCTGCCTAGTAGAGCGATATCTGCAGACCCATTATCACATATATACGTACATGTTCAGCCTATTGCATCTCACTGTATAATTTATTAAGCCCTTTGATATATGCTCCTCGTAAGCAGAACTATAGCATACCTAGTTAAACTAAAAACTATACTAAAGAAAACGAAAACCAATAAAAAATAGACAGTAAACCAAACCCTAAACTAAAACTAAACTGAACTAAATAAACTAAACAAAAATAAACCAAACTAATTAAAAACGTAACTAAATTATAAGTCAACTTATATTAGTAAAGCTGAATAATAGACCAGCTACTTAGCTAATTAAGAAACTACAACGAAATAGGTAGATACTGTTGTTAGAGTAAACTGCAATGTTTCTTATATGGAACTCGTACCAGCTCTTTAATGTCATAGAAGTCATTTCGGGAGGAAGGAAAAAGAGTTCCGTGTTTCTTCTTATAGCTGAGGGCCTATGACCAACGCAGATCGCCACAAAACCCCCAGCAACGCATATAAACAGAAATTACTGCCCATAACGAGGCAAAAGCTGTTAGGCGTCGCCAGACATTTATAGGTGGTTTCCTCATAGGTTTAATCTTGGTTAGTCGTTCGGAAAACAAGATGCTCAATTGTACATTATAAGCGCCTGCCCTGTGCGTTTGCATACGCGACCCGATATGCCCTAGTCTGTGCCGCACAAGGTTCAGGCTAGTGCAAGTTTTCTGCGTTTAAGATGTTTACGGACGGAGTTTGAAAATATCAGCACGTGGCAAATAAACGCAAGTATACGCATCTGGGTTTGCTAATTCATTTGTAGCAACTGTAAGGCCAAACGTAGTGCGCTTATTTGGTTTTCTCAGTTACAAAAAAACCGCGAATACCGATAGGGAATAACTTGCCTGAATCAAACTCGGTTGGAGTAAATTTCGTCGCTTTGGAGTTGACTCTTGTGCCCAGGACGTCCGCTGATGTACATGAGCACTTATACTGACCATAATATTGGTACTCTGAAAGGAGAGAGGTAGAAGAAAGTGTGCAACTAAGCTTGGCATTGCAACATACTAACATGAAGATAGCTCTGAATTTTAACAGCGGTGTTGGCTGTCTATACTTGTCTATACTTGCGACAGCCGGAAAGTGAGCAGAGATCACACGAGCTCACTAGCGATCAATATCACGGTCACTCAATATCGATCATGCAGGTCAAAGTGCGTGCATTGAGTGCGGATATGATAACAGGCACGCGGCAAGGCTGCAACAGTCCCGGCGGACAGGAACAACCACCCAGTTAATCTGTCGATGGAACCGAGAGAGTGTCCGAAACGTCAGTCTCAAAATAAAGCGATTCATGCTCTCGTACATTCTTCTTCCTCTTCTTTGGGGGTGGTGAAAACGACAAAATTGGTAAATTATCAGTGTTGCAGGGCACCGCTTATTTGAAACTGCGCGAACGGCAGACTGTCAAGGGGCAGTGTAAAGAGCCTTGTGACAGTTTCTTAAATAGCTTATAATTTTTTTTTAAATGACTACTCAGAGAGTAGCTAGTTCCTTTCCGACCGACCGTACTTCAGTATTGCGCTCAAATGCTTCACTGACAAATTTCGCAGTTTGAAAGCTAAAAAATCGAGCGCATGCTACAAAAGTGAAGTCTATTTCCGTCAATAAAAATGAGTTGGTTTGATTTACGGAAAGTCCGGCTTTTTCAGGCCCCTTTTGGATTGCAAAAAAATGGGCTCAGGAGGGCCAGAAAGCAGAAAGGACGTGTTGAATGATATGAGTTAGATATATTTCTCCCCTCATGCCGCCATGTTCTTGCTATGTCTTTGGTCTTGAACTGTCATTAGTCTTTTTTGAATTGTCTTTTTGTATCTGCGACGTTTTAAAATACTCATGGGCAGAGAAAAAAATGAAGAATATGTGCCGAGTCCAAGAAATGAATCGTCAAGAATTGGAAACGGCGATGTCTGTCTTTCATGCAAGTTCGAGCTCACTTAATAGGTAGAACTGGAGATATATGTGATGAAATTTTGACCAAAATTCTGTCGTTTATTTTTTATTATGAAGTATTATTTGGTCAGAACTATTTTATCGCTTATGGTGTAGCATAGCGCTAAGATCTCTCGGTCCACCATGGGGAAAGTGACCTAGAAAGTCTCCACTCGCCACAAAGTGACTATTTTATTAATACACTTTTTTTTAATTCTACGTTAGTGCTATTATAAATTCAAATATAATTTACAGAATCAATGCACAAATATACGGTCTCATTGACTCACATGAT